TAGTGTTACACTTCCAAGGTTTGTTTTTTTTTTTTTTTTTTTTTTTTTTTTTTTTTTTTTTTTTAAGTGTTCGAACCTGTTGTTTTCCATCAAAAACCCGTGAAACAGGTGTGTAAGCTTCACGAAGACGAGCCTCCGATTGGGTTACTCCGAGCCGGAGAGCCGGTGGTTTTTTCGGGGAATTCACAGCGGCCGTATTCGTTTTGAAACTCCTCGTTTTGGAACTCCTCATTTTGGTGTCTTGTTTCAGAGACGCAGAGACGCAGAGACGCAGCGGGCCCCCGGTGATTTTCGGTCAAAGAGTCGACGGAAAAGGGCTGAGTCGATTCGACCAGTGAAAAGCAAGATGCCGTCACCAAGGAAAAATGCAATTTCCGTCATGGCCCATGGACAATTGCTCCGTTTGATCTCCGAAGTTCGTTTGTTGCACCTCTCCGTGATCACGGTTCAGGGGCTGAACAGTTTGAGTCAGACTGGCGAAACAAAACGTCAATTTGCTTAAGTTATTATTATGATTTTAATTACTATTATTTCCCCTTTTTGGTTTTACACGGAATCTTTCACTACTGGACATGTTTATTATTATTATTATTATTATTATTATTATTACTATTATTATTATTATTATTATTATATTTTTTCCAGGGGAAAAGCAGCTCGAGACCCGCTCCGATTGCCCCAAGAGCTTCAGCCATGAGCGGATTCCCTGCGAAGCGGCACCGGCGCTGGAGGGAGCGAGCCGCGGAGGAAATTTCTCGAAGCCGCCAAAGGAGAGCGCTTGGGTCATGTTTTTGTTCTTTTGGGATGGTCTTTCTTTTTTTGAGGATGGTCTTCTTTTGGAGGATGGTATTCGTTTTGAGGCCCTTTTCGGGGTATCCGAGTTTAAAACAACCCTTTTTGGGGCCCCTCTCTCCCCCCCCCCCCCCGCTTCCCCGTTTTTTTAAAATAGGAAACACCCTGGCCCTGTGCCGTCGCCGGATGGAAGCAATCCGTTGCATTCACACGGATGGCCTCGACCCTTTCGGTCAAGTTTGTATCCCTCAGGTTGGGGTTTCTAGGAAGGCCAAGAGGGAAACCTGGCAAAAGTCCCCCGCGTTCTGTTTTTTTTTTTTTTTTTAATTGGGGGGCCTCAACTGGTGGTTTCGAAGGGAAGCCAACAGGAAACAAACACAGACCACAGATTCCTGGAAGCAAAAAGCGAGCCCAGGAAAGCAACCCCTAGGGTCCCTTCTCCGGACTCGCTGGAATTTTGGGGTTTTCTTCTTAGACTAAGGTTCCCCCGCCCCCCGCCCCCCGCAACACACCAAACCAAAGATGGTTCCTATTTCGTCTTTCCCAAATTGCAGGTGAAAGGGTTTTTTGGGGCTTTCTGCCAAGTGTCCTTGTCATATGTCAGGCTCAGCTTATTTGAACCCCTGTATCTTGTAGAGCTTCTTCCTGGAACCCCTCCACATCTCCACATCTCCAGGCTCCAAACCTGGATCCGATCGGATCCCCCGAGTGTCGAAGTTCAACCCGATTGAACCCAGCCATTCTCTAAAGGGCGCTGTTGGTACTGTTGGATGTCAACTGTAGCATCACTTCTTCTACATTTCTTCCACATCGACAAGGGGCCGATCGATCTCTTAGTCCGGGTTTTGGGGAGTTCTTCTTCTTCTTCGGTCTCAGAAAACAAGCTCAAATGGATTGCAATCGCCGGACTGGCTGCCAGATGAAACACCGCCGGAACACAAAGATGGCGCAAAGCCTCGAACATGTACCTTTTCGTGGGCCTTTCCTCCAGGTGTCCCTTCAACTTTCAGACGTTTTTAGTTTTCTCGTCTTTGTTTCTTCCTTCGCCTAGGCCTCCGCCGCTCAAAAGAACCACAGCACCCACGGGAAGAGCGCGGGAGAGCGCGGCAAAACACGGGGCTTTGGGTCTTTTGGGAAGGGATCGAAGATCGAAGCGATCCGGGTGCGCCAGGGTCCCGGCACGGAAGGCCCGGAACACCTCGCTTTCCATCGGGAGGTCTGGACCTGGGGACGCTGGCAAGTTTCCAAGGCTTTTTTTTTTGGGGGGGGGTTGTACCTTTTTGCTGGTTCTCATTCCACAGGCCCAAGCTACCTCAACTCAGGACTCAGGTCAAAAACGAGGCAATGTAGCAGGGGCTTTTCCTCCAACCGCGACTTTGGCAAGTGGCTAGAGCCTCCGCGCGCCTGTACTTTTATTGTCTCTCGCAAGCTCTCCTCTCCCCTTGCGAGATGTGCAAGAGACGTTTGCACGCAACGCATACCCCAATTCGCTGCTGGTCTTTGAACTCTGGCCAAGGGTGTTTGTGTGTTGTTTGTGCCTTTTTTTGCGTGAACCCTTCTTTGGGGCTGGTTCTGGGGGCATTTCTTTCCCGTACATTTTTTTCAATGATCAGTTGGACACATCGAAGGACAAAGCGCGGAAGGGCGCGCCTGGGAAGAACGGCAGCCCTGTGGAACCCACCCAGGTCCATTGAGCGAGCTTCCAGAGATGCGGTGTTACTGGGAGAAAGGGTATATTGAGAGGGATCCGCATGTTGGGAAAAGGGCCATAAGAACCGTGGCACTGGTCTCGAAAACGGGGTTTGGGTCTGGCTTTTGTGGATCCGCCCCTGTAGGACATTAAACGAGTATGAGAGCACTACAATTGGCACCCCCAATAGGACGTTTCAATTCACCCTTGGCCAAGTGCGCTGCCTTGCACGGGACACTGTGCGTTCTCGACTGTGCACAGTGTTGGCGCAAGGGGAACAGGCCCGAAGACACGGCACGCGGGGGGTAAAAGAGACGAAGCGGGAAAAAGCGAGAGAGAGAGAGAGAGCGAGTTTCAGGGTTTAGAGCCTTTTCCAGGGTTTGAAACCTCAAAACTCTAGAGTTCCAGGGTTTGGAGCCCCAAAACTCTAGACCGGTCTTCTGAAATTTAAGTCTAGGTGCTTGCTTCAGGCTGAGCTTGTGTTTTTTTTTGTTTCTCCGTGGAGCAAAGCCTAAGGGTTGGAAAAGGGGCCTCTTCAAAGCCATCCAGTCCCCGAACCGACTCCGGACCGAATCCGGACCTTTCGCTCCTGTCGATGATTTTTTTTTGGGCCCAAGAACCCCCCTCCCCCGCAAAAATCTGTGGGGGGAAAAGAACAAGGACCGAAAACGGGGGCGCTTTGGCCAAAGAGGGGCCGGGGGCAAATTCGGCCTGTCGGCCTGCCGGGCGGAATTCCCTTCTGAGTCTTTGTTCCCGAGCACCAGGCTGTGGAGCTAAGTCAGGCGAAGGATTCCCCAAGCCGCAAAATTCCCAGCTCCGTCGCAGCCTTTGCTCGGGGGTTCCCTAAACCGCACCCTTGGACCAAACAAAAACAAAAACAAACAAACAAACAAAAAACAAACAAACAAACAAACAAACAAACAAACAAACAAACAAACAAACAAACAAACGGCCAAGTCTTTTTCTTTCAGAACTTTCCAGCTGAGGTTGCTCACATGTTTTTGTCTTTTCGGTTGGACCCTCAAGTTGATTTTCTGTAAAGGTTTTCCTCCAACAAAAATCGGGATACCCCCCCAAAAAAGACACCCCCCCACATGTTGCGAGCCACGGCCCCTGATTGTCCGGTTTCGCGTTGGAAGGTGAGGGAAGGTTCCCGATTGGTGGGATCGGATTGCGGGAGAGTCTCTGTGTTTCTCTCTCTCTCTCTCTCTCTCTCTCTTTCTTTCTCTCCTCTCTCTCTCTCTCTCTTTCTGTCTTCCTTTCTTCCTTCCTTCCCTCCTTCCTTCCTTTCCTTCCTTCCTTCCTTCCTTCATTCCTTGTTTGGTTGATTATTTGTTTGTTTGTTTGTTTGTTTGTTTGGTTTGTTTGGTTTGTTTGTTTGGTTTGTTTGTGTCTGTGTTTATGTCTGTGTCTGTGTGTGCGTGTTTTTTTTTGGGCGGGGGATGAGTTTGGGCCACGCTCAGGCTCAGCAGGGTCACCTCCTTTTCTCGGTCCTTCAACCCGGTTGATTTTTGTAATGTTGGCACTTGATTAATCAACTGGACTATAATAATGGACAGTTTTTCCCTTATTCTGGTTCGCGAGGGGGACCAGAATAATCGATTGATTTTTTTTGCCCGGGGGGAATTCCAAAAAAATATCCACAAATCAATTTTAATTTAGAAAACCATCCCCCCTCCCAGAAAATAAACTACCAGTTGCTTTGCTCAAAAGCATTCCCTCTTTCAGTTGGTGGCCCACTGGCTTAAAAGCATTCCCCTTTCAATTGGTGGCCCACTTGCTTAAACGCATTCCACTTGCAATTGGTTGCTCAACCACAGAACCCAAAGCCAGCTGAAACCTCTGAAATTTGAAAACCATCCCCAGCCCTGAAACTGCAAACTCTTTATTAAATTTAGACCGTGTTTAAAAAAACAATCAGGACAAGGGTACCCCTCACAGACCCCACTGAACCACAATAATGTCATTCTTTTAGGGGACCACATTAGTTGCAAGCCCCCAGCCCCCCTCCCAGAAAATATACTACCAGTTGCTTTACTCAAAAGCATTCCCCTTTCAATTGGTGGCCCACTTGCTTAAAAGCATTCCCCTTTCAATTGGTGGCCCACTTGCTTAAACGCATTCCCCTTTCAATTGGTTGCAATACTAAAGTAGTATTCCAACAAGTATGCTCAGGAAGAAGTGGTTGCAATACTAAAGTAGAATTGCAAAAAGGAAGTGGCTGCAATTCTAAAGTAGAATTGGGCCGCAACATCCTCCATTCTTTGGACGTCCCAAAAGTGAGCCCACCTTATTTTGGCGCCTCCATTGTTCAGGGGGGGCCTTTATTCATCAGGTTCCAACATTGACCACCAACGCATGTTCTCCTTCAAAACCTCCTGTTTGTTTTTTTTTGGGGGGGGGGATGAGTTTGGGTCACCTCCTTTTCTCGCTCCTTCCACCCGGGGATCTTTCAACCAACCCGGTGGATCTTTCAACCAACTCAGCTCTTGTCGCACGACAGCTCCGCATGGAACAGGCAGCGCCGGGCCTTCCTGGCGCCTCCGCTCAAGCTGCAGATCCGCGGAAAGCCCAGCCCGGACCGGGCCAGGGGCAGTGGGTCGCTTAGGCGTCGCGCGAATGGTTCGCTTAGGGATCGCGCAAATGGATCGCTCCGGGATCGCTTTTTGCAGAAGGCTTGTCGCGCATGCATGCGTGTTGATATGTTTGCCTCGCGATGTATGTCTATATACGCGCATGCGCGAGCAGGAATGCGCTTGTTTGTGCTTGTTGGCGTGTATATCGCATGACATATGTGACGTGTATGTTTCATGACATATGTTACTATGTATGCTGGCGAGTCCATGTATGTGGTTGTGTGCATGCGTGTTGACATGTAGGCCCTGCGGCGCATGTTCGTAGGCGTGCGTATGTTTGCATGTGTGAGCCTGTGTGTGCGTGTGTGTGTGTGTAGGCGTGCGTATGTTTGCATGTGTGAGCCTCTGTGTGTGTGTGTGTGTGTGCGTGTGCGTGTGCGTGTTACTTTGTAATCCGGTAAAGGAGCAGGCTGGTCTGCAGCAGTTGAGCGGGTGTGCTTATCATACCAACCCCCCCCCCCCCACCCCCTCCCCAGAGCCATGTTACTTTGTAATCCGGTAAAGGAGCAGGCTGGGCTGCAGCAGTTGAGCGGGTGTGCTTATCATCCCCCCCCCCTCCCCCTCCCCAGAGCCATGTTACTTTGTAATCCGGTAAAGGAGCAGGCTGGTCTGCAGCAGTTGAGCGGGTGTGCTTATCATACCAACCCCCCCCCCTCCCCACCCCCGTCATCAATGAATGTGATCCCTAAGTGATCCGTGAATGTGATCCTCAAGTGAGCGTGTATCCCTAAGTGACCGTGATCCCTAAGTGAACCGTTTGAGCGATCCCTAAGTGACCTGTTTGCCCCGGGCCAGGCCCAGAAACCTCGGGGAGGGGCGTCCTTTTTGTTTTCTTTTCCCAAAAGGCTGGACCTTTGACCTTTGACCTTGGTTTTTTCTGCCGGTTTTTTGAAGCCAACCTTTGAGGCGCAAAACCTGTTGCCAAGAACAGACCAGCCCCAAAAACAAGGTTCGCGCCATCACCGTGACGTGTAAACAGGACCCTTCTTGCGTGGCGCCGAAGGTGCACATCGGAGTCCTGTTTTGTTTGAACGTGCGCTTTTCTTTAAGGATTCAGTATTGCGTTTCCTGTGTTGACTTGAAGATGTGGATAGATAGTGCTCAGTTGGAGCAAAAGAGAGAGGGCGAGAGAGACATGCAGATAGGCAGCTGGACAGGGAGAGAGATAGATAGACAGATAGACAGAGAGAGAGAGAGAGAGAGAGAGCGAGAGAGAATAGACAGATAGATAGATAGATAGACAGATAGACAGAGAGAGAGAGAGAGAGAGCGAGAGAGAATAGACAGATAGATAGATAGATAGATAGATAGACAGATAGATAGATACATAGATAGATAGATAGATAGATAGATAGATAGATAGACACATAGATGCACAGATAGATAGATAGACAGATAGATACATAGATAGATAGATAGATAGATAGACAGATGGATAAAGCTAGATAGAAGATAGACAGAAAGAAAGATTGACAGAGAGAAATCAGACAGAAGCACACACACACAGCGAGCGTTGAATAGAAATATAGATAGACAGATAGATATAGATATATGGATCGACTCATAGATGTATAGATAAACAAAGGTAGAGAGATAGAGAGATGATTTGATTGACAGATCGACAGACAGACAGATAGATAGATAGATAGATAGACAGATGGAGACAGAGAGAGAGAGAGAGAGATAGGTAGGTGGCAAGAAAGATAGAACGACGGATAGATAAAGAGATGTAAAGATAAAGAGGTAGATAAATAGTTGGCTAGGAGTTAGACCGATAGAAAGATAGAGAGGGAGCGCGGTAGATAGATAGATAGAAAGATAGGTGGAAGGATAGAAAGAAAGGTAGTTAGAGCGATCGATATGTAAACAGAGCAGAAAGAAAGACCCAAAGGAAAAACGAAAGAAAAGAAAGGAAGGAAAGGAAAGGAAGGAAAGGAAGGAAAGGAAAGGAAAGGCAAGGCAAGGCAAGAAAGACAGAAATACAGAAAACAAAGAAATAAATAAAGAAAGACATAAATACAGAAAGAAAGAAACACAAAAATAAAGAATGAATTAGAGAAAGAAAGAGAGAAGTAAAGACAGATGACAATAAAAGCTGGAGTGAAAAGAACAATGGAAAGAAAGAATAAGATAAACATAAAGAACAAGATAAATGTAATTATAGGTGTATTTAGTTTGGAAACTTCCGCCAACCGGCGTCGCCGGCTCTACTGGTTCACAAAATACACTTCCACAAGATACACCATACACACACAAGACAGACATTGCACACAGAACATGTACGAGCACACAAACAAACAAACACACACACACACACAGGTGTGCGGGCGCATATGCTTCTTAAAATCGAAGCGGTTGAAATGGGAACGCTGGCTGGCCGAATCGGTTGGACTGGGAGGCGTGGGCGCTTCCCAGTTTGAGCTTTTAGGTGTTTGTGCCGAGGAATCCGAGACAGAGGGACCTCCCCCAATGCGTGGTGTGGTGTTTGTTTCAAATCACGGACATTTGCACACACCCGTGTATATATATATATATGCATCTATATCTACACCCATGTTTACTTTTTGCATGGTGGAGTCTTTTGAAGGTTCTCACTTGGGAAACGGCAGAGGCAGAATTCGTGAATGGCTGCAATGCAATGCTTGGGCCACAGAAGCTGTGGGTAAAATCTTGGAGCTTCCGCCCAATCGAAATGGATTTTGCTTTGGATACCTTCTTGGCGGCCAGACTGAGGGTAGGCTGAGGAGCAACACATCGGTTCTTAAAGGAGAGGATTGCATTGGTTTCTAGAGGGGAAGTTGACTGGTTTCTATGGGGGACCTCAAAATTGCCTGGGCAGATTGCCAGCTCACCAATCCGCGAGAGGGGGGGGGGATCGAGCTATGATGGTCCTTTGCTCTGATCCAATTCTCATTTTTGGTGTGTGAGTTATCTCCCAGTTTGCAACCATATTCATAAAACGCTGCCTCAGAAAACAGGACAACATCAACATACACTGTGGATGGACGAAATCCTGCACCAGGGATGGATGAAACGAAGCCCCAAAAATGCAAAATGGACTTGTCCCCAGCTAACTGGTGGATCTGGTCGGAAGAGCCGTGGAGCGGTTTGCCATTCGATCGGAACGACGTTTTTGAGGCGTGGAGGCCTTCGGTCGCACCTTGACCCTCGAGGATCTGCGAATCGAGGGTCCGGGTCGCGCTTTGGCTGTGAAGCTCTCAAATAACTATGGGTCAAAAAAAAGGTAACCAAAATAAAACCCTAATAAATGAAAACATAAACTACAACCTGCGGTTTTCTGGTGGTTTCATTTTGACCACGCAAATTTGTCAGCTGGAAGCTTGACGTGAGTTTCGGGGGGCCAAAACGGTGGAGAAGTTTGAATGGACCCGACATGGACATGATTTAGTTACTAGCACAGGTGGAAATTCAGGCAAGGCACTGTTGAGGTTTTTGAAAAAAACAACCACGGCTGGTTTGGGCGTAAACGGAAACCAAACAGAAACCGGGCTATTGTCGGGACCGATTTTAAGACACGCACCCCAAGCAAAAGGCCGGTGTTTGCTTCCTCTTTGAGAAGTGACAGTTGCGTTGGTATGTTTTGTTTGGTGCTGCTTAGGCTTTTGGAGGTTCTGTCTTCAAGGCCCAGTTTAACTGTATTTCCAGGGTTTCCGGCCAGAAACTCATGGTGTTCTTGTTTTTTCCAGTAGTTTTGGAATTCCGTGATTTCCCACAACCAGTTGTTCGTTGTGTCTGTTTGCTGATGGAACGGTGTTTAAGGTAAAACCAAACGAACACCGAAGCCATTTCGGGTTCTCTGATTCCTAGAAGAAGACACCCGTTTGTAAGCTCGATTTTTTCGCGGCCGCGCAATTGCAACCAACAGATTCCACTTGTTCTCCCAGTGTTGGACTGCGAAAACATAGGATAAGCGCGGAGCACACAACAGTTTTTTAATTCACGATGGTGCACCGAAAGAGCAGCGATAACCATATGATGGGAGCATTGGTTTGTCTTCACATTGGACTCCTTGCTTGTATTCTCGGGTGTTTGATTTGTTCTCTACCCGTTTCTGTATATGTTCCATGCGGGCGTTTTGACAGCATTCAGTTTACGGTACCAGTGGTTGTGAAGCGAATATTTCTGACACAGCAACACTCGCGGGATTTTTAGGCACCTCCGGGCTCGACGGATTGCCAGTTGGAGCTTCCCCGCAAACATATTATGGGGGTTGATCAAAGGGCCGCTTTAAGCATAGGATGACCATTAGGGGATCCACAAAAAAGATACACTATTTCAACTACATGGGAAAAGTTAGGCGTTGGGGGGCTGAACGGATTATTGATCAACCCCCATATCCCAACTTGATTTTTGCAACTGTTGATGCCAATCCACGGAAAGTGTCACAACGGCCCCACTGGAAACAGCTCTCTGGTTTTGAGCATGTGGCACACACCGATCGGGTGGTTGAAGGGGCATACAAGGTTTGCTTCGTGATTGCATCCTACTTGGGATCCTTTTGACATCAAATAATTTGAGGTTCACTAAATATGGGCGAGAGTCAATCCAAGATTTGGGGGTGCCGGGGGGCAAAAGATGAGGTAGCAGTTTGTACGTACCCAAGGGTGGCAGAAGTCGTGGATGTTCGGCTTTCCTTTACTAGGGACCACATGTCTGAATTGTTTTGCCGCGGATGAGCAGAAAAGGTGGCTATTTTAGCTTTTTAGTGTTTAGTGGTTGGGTTTCCATTTTACCCACTAAAAGTTCAACTCACTTTTAGCAGGGGATCAGAAATCGGGCAGCCCACATTTGGCGTCTAACGCTGCCAACAGCCAGCTGTTGGCTCAATGACGGCGCGTTTCGGTATCGTACTTGCGTCTGGGCGGCATGGCGAATTTCCTCTGACCGACTGGACCGTTTTTTGGGGGCCCAACGTTTTTTTTTTTGTTTTTTCCTTTTTTCTTTCTGGTTTTCAGTTAAAAAATCCCCAAAATTTGGCATGAGCGGTTTGGAGAGGGGCCCCCCAAATTTTCATCTCATTTTTGAGACAGGTTGAAAAGTGGAGGGCGCCGGCAAGTTGGAACCGCTGTGGTTTGGGCTTCATCGCGCCGCTTCCCTCAAAAAAAAAAGCGGCGAGAAGAGGGGGCTACCCTTCTAGGGGTACCTTCCATTTTCCATTCTGAGTCCAGGGATCCGAGTCTTTTCAGGAAACCATCAAAAACCCAGGGGAAGCAGCCGGTTTGTCAAAAGAACGCTGGTGGCAAAGAATGGGGAATCAACCCTAGAACCCTTAAAAAAGGACAACCCCTTCTGGCCAGTCAGCTCACAAGCGCATGACGGTTATGAGAGCCACGTGCCCAACGGACATGGGAAATTCTGCCGCGTAAAGTTTGGTGGGGCAACAGATCCAAGTGGATTGCTCCAACTTGAATCGTGCGAAATGTGTTGGGGCGAACAGGAAATGGCGGTTGAGTGTCTGGGCCAGTTCGATTAGAGTTTCCTTCAGTCGGCGTGAGGATTTCAGGCACAAGCTAGGATCTCCCAAGTATTCAATGTCGCACACTCATTTTTCTTGAAATAAGGATCATATCCCAAGATTAGGTTTCATTTGAATTCCCCTACAAAGACCATCCAAAAAGGAAGCCCTAGTCTTTTACCTCCCAATGTTCAAGAGAGCAGTCATGCCTGTCACATGTGTTGAGCACCCATTTCTTTCAGCAGCCTTTTTTTTCCGAGTTTCGCCCAATTCATCTTGACTCAGAGATCGCCTCCTTTCGTTTTTTTCTTCTTAAGGGCTCTTCCATGGTTGTTGTTGGGAAACATTTTACATTTTGCTTATTGTGGTTTAGTGGGAAATCCCCACTCAACTGCTAAAACATGAATTTTTGCTCCCCTTCCAACGTCAACCAAGTTAAGGGCTCTTTCTGGGGAGGCTGGGGTCCCATACAGAAAGCGCTGGTTGCTCGATCGATCTTTAGCTCAGCCCAATCGACGTGGTTTGGGGTGGCAGCTTTCAGGGAGGCGTCAAAATTTGGAACCCTTTCGGGGGTTCCTTTGGGGTCTAGATACCTGGGCACAGTTGGGTTGAAGTTGTTTTGCCTTTGGCGATACCGAAGCCCCGGCTTTGGGTATTTTCTATTGGGACCCACTCAAGTCTGGTCGCAAAGCCGAAAGTCCTCCGGATTCGGGGACGGTCGCGAAAGCCTTCGATCAAGTGGGCGAACCACTTCAGGTCGAAACGGATTCTTCACCAAACCGAACCGAAAGGCCCTTTCCCAAGGAGCGCTTTCGAGTGAAGTCCGGATCGATTGTGCGACTCGCAGGAGTCTCGGAGAATTTTTCGGAGCCTCGGGACCCGGGGAATGCAAAAAACAGGGTGATCCCAAGTTTGCTACAATTCCGCTTGAAAGTCGCAAGCAGCGGGGAGGAAATCGTCAAAATGGGAACATCAAGCTGGAAAGTCCTGGGTTTTCTCCAGTTTTGAAAGGTTTCTGAGAGTCAAGTGGCCATGGGTCAAAAGCCAAATCGTACCCCCAATAAACATCCCAATCCCCACTAAAACCCCGGTTCTAACATGGGTGGTGAAAGAACCTATCCAAAAATGGGATCCCATTGCTCAGTTGTTCAGTGGCACCAATTCTTCTTCCAACTTTTTTTTTGGGTGGCTGCCCCACTAAAAATGGTCTTCCCCAAAAAAGGTTCCCTTTTTGCAGGGTCACTGAACAACTGAGATTGGTTTTGACCACGGCCAAGCCACCGACCTGCCTGGGGAGGGGACTCGAGGCCCTGCTATGGCCCGCGGATGGCGCGCTGCGGAGGATCCGCGGCGGCGTCAAGCCCATGGACGTGCAGGCGGCTTGCGGTTCGTTGGCTCGCGGTTCGAGGTGCCGTGAGAAGACGGCGCCGAAGCCGAAAACATGTTTCACGGGGAAGGTGGAGAAGTTGAGAAACCAGATTCCTCCATTTGCTTTTTTTTTTGTTAACCCTTGTTGGTTGACAACTTGTTGCTCCGTATATGTGCAGAAAAGGAGCTGGTGCAGACACTGTCTTGCCAGCAGAGGCTTAGGCCAGCAGCATAGAAGCAGGCCAGAAGAAGCCAAGGCGGGCGATGAGCTCGAGATCATCGCGTGTGACTACACGTGGATGACCAAGAATGGAAAGGAAGACGGGAAGGCGCGACCTATCCTCGTCATCAAGGACAGCAAGACGCTAACTGCGGCCATGTTTGTAGACGCTAAGGGGCCTACGCCTTACGCGGCGAAGTTCTTTGCTAACTCTGCGTCATCTAGGCTACTACCAACGCGCCGTCATGATGAGTGACGGAGAACATGCAGTGGTTGCACGGAAGGAACAAGCCGCTCGTGAAGCGGGCTTGGAGATGGTCCCGCAGGGTACGTATCCTGAGGTCATCACTTGAGGAGAAAACCGGCAGAGTGCTTTGTGAGGATGACCCGGTCTTGTCGTGCCTACCCAGGCACGCGGCGGACATGTGCCGGTAGTGGCAGGGGCCGGATGGCCGCACCCAGAACAGAGGTGCGGGAGAAACTGGAGGAAGCCTGCCATCGCTATAGGCGAGAGGTTGTACTACCATGAGGCAGGAGAAGGAGTCTGATCACTGAAGGAAGGTCGGTACATCGGCCATCATGGCCGGACAGCCGAAGGAGTGAAGAGAGGCACTGGCATCAGATGACTTGCCAAGTGCGACCGTTGGATTGCCGACTGGGATCAGTTGAAGGGACTTCCATGAAAGGTCGCTGCAAGGCGTGCAGGCACACCAAGGGGCGGCACGGCTGGTGAAGCCGAAGTGGAAGCGGCTATGCAGGTATTTGGTCAAGAAGCCTGATATGAGCCAAGTGTTTTCGAGAGGCAAAGCCATCGAAGCTGCGAGTTCAGGTCGACTCCAACCGCGCAGGTGGTGCGGGTTACCCGTCGGTCTATGACAAGCATGATCTTTGTGTGGCGAGCATGTATTGAAGCGCGCGAGCGACGTCAGTCAACGATTGCCCCGTCAACAGGCGAGTCAGAGTACTACGCTCTGGTTAAGGGTGGATCGGTAGGACTAGGATTGCAAGCCTTATTCGAAGATTTTCAAGTTCCCATCTCTGTAGTGGTAGAATCAGACGCCACTGCTGCTAAGTAAGGGTACTGTAAATAGGATCGGATTAGGTAAAGC